AAAAGGCCAAAAAAATAACAAAAACAAATTAACCTTTTTACAATAAATATAATAATAATAAACTGGCAGTTGTCTCTCTCGCACCGCTCCCTTAGCAGTGGCACCGTGTTGCTTCTTTGCAAATTAACTTGAAAAAGTGTAGCTTTCATGTGAAATAGAATTATACTTTTTTGTACAATATGTATATTTGTATATGCATATAAAGCACATTTAACTGATGAAACCAAAAATTGGCTTTAAATTTGATGTTTACATAAAACTCATACTAGTTTTATTTTAATTTTGACCCCTTTTGCACTTTTTATACCGCTAAATAGCACATAAATTACGTAATTCATATAGATATCTTAATATTTCTTTCAATATTTCGTTTAAAATGCCAAATTTCCTGCAAATACATTAAAATTTACAAAAGGAATTTCACGACTAAGTGCCTTCTTTGCCTACTTTTCTACTACCATTTTCGCAACAAGGGATTTCATGTCCATCAGTATATCAACGAAGCGCGTTTGTTTCATCATACATATATATCCATACAAACATATCTACGAATCAGGGTTGTTGCGAATATTCGCATTCGCATTCGCAACCGCGGAGCTTACGCATTAATTTTAACATTCGCATTCGCTTTCGCATTCGCAATAATCAATGCGGAGCTTTTGCGAATGCGAATATTGTGCAAGTGCACTGATGAAACGTATATCTGGCAAACAAAATAAACATTTTAGCTAATATCTTTGGCCTCTGGAGATGCTACTTCTGTAATTTAGAGTCAAAGAGTAAGATCCTTAAATAGGTATTTCCAGCGGAAATGTTCAACGTCTAGCTATAACGAGAATCGACAATTTGCGCGGTAAAAGATAACCTTTCATTAGGTAAGAATTATGTAACCATCGAATATTAAAAAACTGGATGCATCGCTAGTTTTTTTTTACATAAGTGTAATCATTTTTTTTTTCATAAAACGGCTTATTATGATTAAGTTCCGTGTTTTCTTTTATTACTTAGCAGAAAAACACTGTTTTTACTATGCAAATACTTCTCTGTCTGCTCGAAAACAACAACATTTATTTTAATTTTGTGATAATTTGCAAAATTTTCACGTAACGAAATAAAAAATAAATGGAATGTGAAAAAGTTGACTGTCAAGTTCACAAATCAAATAAGAATCATTTCAAGGCGAATTTAATATCTATTGAGGAGTGGGACTTGGAACGCAATATATCGTTAGTATAGTATGAAAAGGGCGTAACTCGCCTCGTCGCTGAAATACAAAAGGCCGTAACTAACTAAAAATCCAAAATTCACTTTTTGATAGATTATGATGCATTTCATCGAATCATAAGTCCCCACATCGTTTTATGCAATAACAAGATTTTAGTTAGTTCTGGCATACTATATTAACGATATGTTAAAAATTTGCGTACATTTGCCTCAAAATATCAAAGCACATTGAGCACATGAATGAAAAAACAAAACGGATTTGATATGGTACTGACAGCGGTGAGTAAGTAATTGTGACTTACTGCAATTAGGAAAAGTCGATCTCAGCTAATAAAAAAAATTAGAAGCTATTCATTACAGGTGAACCATTTCAAAAAGTCACCCGGGAACTAAGCAGATCTGATTCCAATAATTCAAATTATTATAAAAAAACGGGGTTCCTTTTTAACAAAATAACAAGACTTTAAACTAATTCGGCTGGCAGCCACGACTTTCAAACAGAATTTTCTTCAAAATTTTCATTCCCAGAAAATCATATTTTATTTGCCAGTTCCACCTATTTACAACCTCGCTAGAAGCACACATTTTTCAAACCAGTCACAGAAGAAAGGACTAAAAATGAATTACAAAAACTAAAATCGAAAATCGCTGATGATGTTACAGTTTCTCCAAATTCCGAAACAACCAAAAGAATGAGAATGAACAATTTTATGGAAAATAACGGTGTTTAAACAACGATATTTTCATGATGCTAGATTGTCAAGATGAAAGGCAGGAGGATACATCCGACATTTGCACCGCCGATGCAATTCTCAGAAAGGAGTTATTGGGGAGAATTTACAATTTTGGGAAGTTTCAAGTTTTTCAAGTTATTCGCCTTGAGCGAGTAGTTATTCAGTGACGAAGGTTTGATTTACGACACTTTGAGAAACAGGCTTTAACCCAATTCCAATTTGTAAATTCAAGTACTAAATTTCATTTCATTTTCATTTCATTTATTGCGAAAAAACATTAGTACAATAAGATCTACGATCTTTTATAGTACAACAAGTAACAGGAAGTGTCAGAAAAATAAAATAAATAGTAATTCTTAAAACTAAAATTTCTAATAAACATAAGAATAACAATAATGAAAATTCTTAGAACTAAAATTTATAATAAACACAAACTTAACAATAATACAATGATTATCCATATTGGCTGAAAAATATATATTTAGATAGCGAAACACATAGTTATGCAAAATATATACGGATGTATATATTTGTTTTAACGAAAGTACGAATATAGAACAAACTTAAAGTTGCTTTTATTTAGACTACTGCGAATGGACATTGTAATAGAGTTCCATGTACGAATAGCATTGACAAAGAATAGCCGTGCGGAGGTTTGATAATTATAACTTGGTACTATCAAGTCATTAGTTCGAGCTGGCTTTGGGAAAATAAGCTTGTCATATAGATAGCTAGGCTCCTTGTATATAATAAGTCGACAGATAAAAATGCAGTTTCTGGCTTTCACAAACTCATTCTCCAACCAGAGATATGGTCAAATTTTGCCAACCCGAACACATAGCGTGTAACATGGTTGAATGTAACATCAATTTTATGAGCAGATTTAGAGCTCAGCTTACTGTAGACTAGTTCAGGGTAGCAAATGATCGGCATTATTAGTTACATTGCAAGTTTTTTCCTAACATGAACCAGCGTAAAAGTTGCTGACATTCGTAAATTTCTTAAGATATTATATACTTTGCTAACTATCGAGCTCACATGGTCGTCACTCTTTAAGCTAGTGTTAATGATGAACCCGAGGTTAGTCACTTTTGACACGAGCTTAAGACACTTATCGGCAATATACAAAGGCGGGATATTTGCAAAATTTATTCGTTTTCTAGACATAGGTAGCACATACGATTTTTCACTATTAAGAACATAGCTCATTTCTCTTCGCCCAGGCAAAAATGGATGCTAAGTCATTATTTAACCTTGTACAGATTTCCCTTGTTTCCCCATGATTTCCAGACAGATATAGCTGGGTGTCATCAGCATATGCATGCATATATACATGTTGGCAAGCAGAAAATATGTCATTTATAAAGAGGCTGAATAATAATGGACCCAAGATAGATCCTTGGGGCACACAAGCTAGCAGTGGTTTTAGACCAGAAGCTTTGGAGCCAACTTTCACACACTGGGTTCTACCCGCCAAGTAGCTCCGCATGAGATGCGTTGCGGAATCCCCAAAACCAAAATAGTATTTTAACTTCAAGCAAAGTAAGTCATGGTTCACAGAGTCAAAAGCTTTGGAGAAGTAATGTAGGCATAATAAAGTCAATTGGTTTTTGTCAAATGGTACTCTAATGTCATCTAAAATGTTTAAGATAGCCGTGGAGCAGCTATGCTTTGCTCTGAAGCCTGACTGGAGCGGAGACAGCAGGCTAAATTTACCAATATGGGCATGCACTTGTCCAGATATCAATAACTCGAAAACTTTAGAGAGTGCGGGTAAAATGCTTATTGGTCGAAAATCACTGGGACTACACGCAGACTTGGTTTTAGCATTTGTTTGCACCTAGGCAACCTTCCATGCATCAGGGAAACATGAAGTTGTGATACTATGATTGATGACATGGGTGAGAGTAGGCAGAATGTACGGTGCAATTATTTTTATGAATTTAATTGGTATGCTGTCCGCCCCAATTGCATTGGACTTTATTTTATTAACACAAAGTGCCACTTCTACCTCTGACACCGCTTTAAACTCAAGGACTTGACAGGCAGACACAACAGACGAAGGACAGGGTGTAAAGCAAGCATTAACACAAGATGGGGTAACACGATTGACAAAAGCATCATTAAGGTCTTCAGGACTAAGGGAACAATCAGGGCTGTCACTAACATGTAAACGAAGGTTTTTTAGGTTACGCTACAAAACATGATTCGGTAGCGAGGTATCCAACATTTTGCCATAGTACTTGCACTTTTCACGCTTTATTAAGGCCGTAGTCTCATTTCGACAAGTTTATATGCACGCCAATTGTCCTCAGTGCGGTTCTTTTTCCAGAGAGAATATCTTTTATTACGCCTGACAATAATCGCACGAACCGATTTGTTGAACCAAGGACACGAGGAAGATCTATCATGGCAAGTGCGAGTCGGAACGTGAGTACTATACAGATTTAAAACGATCTCATTCACAAAGCTCAATTTCTCGTTCACCGAGCTTAGACCCCAGCAAGCAGACCAATAGATGCGAGATATGGAACTTAAAAACTAGTAAGCGATAATCTGGCGAAACGGACGGACTAGCTGAAATGCTATGGTTGCCTAAATTAATATCAAATGCACAAAAAATAAGATCATGGTCCGAGATAAATGACATTTGGTCAAACTTCAAAACAATGGACGTATCAGACCAATGAAATAATCGAGAAGGCTGGGACAGCAGTTCTGCCCATACCTTGAGTGAACGGACACATTAACCACATCTAGACCAACACCGGAGACATCTTCCAACAAGCGACAGCTATACAAATCACTACATAACAGATTCACATTAAAATCTCCACAAATAACAATGTCATTATAATCAGCAGCGACAGAGGACAACATAGTAAAATATTCATTCACATTACAACATTTATGAGGATTATAAACGCAGGACAACAGGACTTTAGACAATGAACTAGACACTTCAACTAATAAGTGCTCAGTAGCGCTACCATATATTCCTGATATCAACCGCGTTTTTAATACTTTTTACAATACATAGCGACACCGCCACCCCTCTTGATCTTCTTATCTGATCTATACAGTGTATAACCCTTTATGTCAAAGTAGGCATCTTTTACCTCAGGTCTAAACCAAGTCTCAGATACACAAATGACATCAACACTAGATAATTCGAATACTCCTCTGACCATATCCATTTTTTCATTATTCAAGCTGCTCGCATTAAAGTGAACAACGTTGAACCCCTTTTGGCGCCTGCACAAGATGTTCAGCATTGCAAGGCTATTATCTTCAATGCCATTCGCACTTCTATTATTCGCACTCATTTAAAGCAGCAGAAGTAAAAGCAACTTTAAGGCAACAAAAATGAAGACAAAACAAGAAACCAAAACAGAACAAATTGATTGTCGCTATCTTTGCATTACAAAAACAAACAAGAAACAAAACAACAAACATACAATCAAACAAACACATGGGCTTACAACTAGCGAAACTGCTCCAGATCATCTTCACACAAAATCTTGGTAGGTTGGCTGGCTTTATCATTTGTTGATCTGACATGCACACAACCCCGGAGAGTGAATGCAGACTGCAACTTCCCCTCACGTCGTAGTTTTATGGCCGCTTGCAAGAGCAGCCTATTCTCTTTGGTTAGGCTTTCAAATATATGAAAATTCCCCTGAATGTCAAGAGGTTGCAGGGGAACAGCAGACTTCATACGCCTGCGATAGTCGCCAAAAGCACGGAGAGTGCGATTGCGATCAAGAGGGGAATGAAATTTGATCACAATCGCACCGTTGAGGCCAGCACGTGAAGGCCTTGTGCGGAAGATATCTCTTATATGAGGAGCCAAAAAGTCGATTGACAGACAGACCTGGTTGAAAATGCTTTTCAGGTTTTTCCCTTCCTTATATGCAACGCCAAATGCAACGGCATCCGCAGCAAAGTCAGCAGTCGATTTCTGCTGTACTCCCTTCGCTAATTCCGCTTTCAGGCACTCAATTCCGGACTCCGACTTTTCCACTCTCTCCTTCAATGCCGAAATGTGCGTAGATGANTTATATGAGGAGCCAAAAAGTCGATTGACAGACAGACCTGGTTGAAAATGCTTTTCAGGTTTTTCCCTTCCTTATATGCAACGCCAAATGCAACGGCATCCGCAGCAAAGTCAGCAGTCGATTTCTGCTGTACTCCCTTCGCTAATTCCGCTTTCAGGCACTCAATTCCGGACTCCGACTTTTCCACTCTCTCCTTCAATGCCGAAATGTGCGTAGATGATTCAGCTACAGCAGCAGCAAGTGACGAAATCTCTTCCTCAATCCGTTTTGTCAGTTTGTTCTCCACTTCTATTATTTTGTTAGAAACACTCTCGATTAGCGGCCGCAACTCAGTCTGCTGCTGTACCCTCTGCTCTACCTCTTTCAACTTATTGTATACAGCTGTGAGTGTGATAACTGCACCTTCATCAAATTTAGCTGTTTTTGCAGAGGAGGAGCCTTTGCTCAGTCGACGTTTCAGCGGAGGAGGAGCGGTGATCGACATAACAAACGAGCGGCAAAATAAACAAACGAATTGTAAGCGATTAAATTTACTTAGCGCAAGAAAATTTTATTAAATTGCTACGCGCCGAACTTGAAACAGCGAATAAATATCGTAACAATCGCACGCGATTAAAGTAATCAAGCATGTTTATTTTATTTTTTTTTTTTTTATTTTATTACTGTAAATTATAATCCGAACAACTATGCCAAAAATGTGGGAGCGAAATCAAAACACGTCCGCTTTGTTCAATCTTATGTATGTATTGTGTATAAATTAAAAAAAAAAAAAACATTTAAATTGACTACCTTTTCCATTTTTTATTTACCTAAATCACCTAATTTAGACACCTAAATTATTTCTTAAATATACTTGACATCCGCATTCGCAATCGCATCCGCGGATGTTAGCTTTTAAATTGTGAAAAATTGGAAGCGGCGTAAATTTGGGATTATAAATTTAAAAGTTGTATTAACCTTTACCTTTTAAAAATAATCAATATCTTATCTTAAAAATGTTTAAATTTCACATTAAATTCGATAACCGCTCGCCAACATTTTTATTTTTAGATTCATAAAATTTTAGTGAAAATTTTCTAAAATTTTTTAGTGTCCTTATCAGGGACGTGAACCGGATGAAAAATTTTGTCGGTTCGGTTCAGCGGTTCGAACCGTTTTTGCACTTTAGGATTGGTTCATCAAAGCGGTTTTTTTGGTCTTTGAACCGGGGTTTCGGTTCGGTTCAACGGGTCGAAAAACAAACAACTAATAAAGTCTAAGTTCGGGCGGAGCCGAACATTAAATACCCGGCGCAAGTATTAAATATATGATTTTCACCTTTCCGAAAGCTACCGCAACATGGCAAAATTTTGAGTAATTTAGCGTCCTTAAATTTCGAAATATTGAAGTTTCAAGCATTTCTGAAATTTACCGTTGTATGAAAAGTGGCCTTAATTTTAGTCTGATTCCAATAATTTTCGAAGTTTTTCTTTTATTTGGCAAGCACAATAGCCACAGCGAGTTTCGTACAAGTTGGTAGAATGGTTACCGAGATACATATATGTGATCATAAGTGGGCGATGCCCCGCCCGTTTTCCAAAATTTTATCATAAACGTATTTCTTGGTAAAGGATTGTTGCAAGCATAAATTTTGAGTAAGTTAGCTTTAATATTTACTGATTTATCGAAGATTTCGTATTTCTCCAAACTACCGTTATATGAGGTAAGCATGGTTATTG